CCCCCGAAAAGCTGGGGAAACATGTCTGAAAGAAACACTGCAGGTGACGAGCGTACTTCACAAAAGCAAGACCAAATCTTAATTTAATATTTACTTTACAAACTTATTCTGGCCTTATTTTCAGAGTTTCTGATTGCTTCATGTACAATAGCTTGTTTTTTTAGCACAAAAAAGTCGTACATGTCTTCATCTACAAACACAATCAAATCTCTTCTTGACTGGGTATCCGGCTCCTAGAGCATTGACAACCCAACTGTCAGTGATTTCATTCGGCAGTAAGTCTAGAGTTCTGTTTATATACCGGTACAAATTTCTCTGAGGCTCATTTTAGGGAAAGATCTTATTTTATGGAAAGGTCTTATTTTATGGAAAGGTCTTATGTTCTCCGAAAGAACCCACGGTAGTTTAAAATCTGCTATTTAAAGCTAAGTGTGACTATACAAGAATGTAAGTGTGTGTGTGTGTATGTATGTTTGTATGTTCATCAGCTACTCTATAACTAAGTGGTTCTCAAATTGGGCGGTACCGCCGACAGGAAACGATGGAAAATCCCAGGAGTGGGGCGGGGGACGGTAAAATGCTCGGTAGATTTAGGGGGCGGTTTCTGAATGCTATCAGAAACATGTTTTTACCTTAACAATGAAATCAAACGTGAGTTCCTAACTGGTTTCAATAATCGGATCAAAGTCGGCTTTGAGTGATGAATAGACAAGATTCCAACGGTACAATGGTGGGTCTTCCAGCTACGCTCCTGGATAAAATTCAAATAGCACAGAATAATGCGGCTCGCATTGTTCTCCGCAAACGCAAGTTCGACCATGCAAAAACACTTCTGAGAGAGTTGCATTGGCTGCCGGTGCGTGCTCGCATAGAGTACAAAATCGCAACTTTGTGCTACCGCTGCTTACATGACCTGGCGCCGTCCTATCCGAAAGAGCTGCTGACGCCTTATGTACCCACTAGAGAGCTCCGCTCGTCCGATGGTGGCAAACTCTCGACACCACGTGTTTGCCTTGAGACTTCCGGAAAGCGCACTTTCGCATTTGCTGGTCCAACAATTTGGAACGCCCTTCCAGTCGATCTCAGAAACAACCAGACACTGGAGTCCTTTAAAACCGATTTAAAGACACATTTATTTCGTAAACACCTTCTGGGATGATTGTCTACCATATTTTCAAGTTAATGCATATTAGCTGTGTTGCTCCGGGTTGAAATGGCTAGAAAGACTTTGCCATTGTATGCTTGTAATTAGTTTTTGTAGTGTTGCGTTTGTTTTAAATGTGGTAAACTATAGATTTGTTTTTTGTTGACTTTGTACCGCGCTTCGAGCCTTTGGGGATGAAGCGTGTTTTTGAAATGAACTTTATTATTATTATTATGATTACAAGGAGTTCTCAACAATAAGGGTACTTCAATTTTAATTCACCGCAAAAATAATTATTATTCACACTTGCAATAAAACAAATATTCGTTTGAATACAAACTTTTTTACTCCTTCAAAGCCCTCTCAACTGTGGTGGCCAGAATTGAACAATATCGTCTAGAATGGCGTTGAAGATATTTAAAAACCATTTGCTTTAACACGTCGACGCCACATGAACTCACACATCTAAGTATCGAGCTTAAGTCTGTGTGTGTGTGTGTGCCATTGTGGAGCTTGTTTCTCTCTTTTGCCGATTGCCCCGTACGTTCGATGCGTTGAGTATTGACCCCTGAGTTCGGATCCATTAAGTTAACGGAATGACTGACCGGTTGATGAGTCGATCACGGAGTGGTGCCAACTGCATTATATGCTCTCCATTGATATGACATGACTGCTGTGCCCGGCAGGATGTGCACTGTAATAATCCGCCTCAGTGTAGCTGCTGACCTATCGTGTACACACAGACCATGAAACACTCTCTAGTCTCGCGACAAATGCCCCCAAAAAACGCATTTTTGTGGCGAAACTCGTCCGACGTGATTTTTTCCTGCGCGCAGACTCTCGTCGACTTCAACTGTAGTATTACGTCCTCCAATAATAACAGGATTTTGTCCAAGTGCCTCCTGTAGGTAATTATTCAAATCAATAACTGCTTGCTGTGAAATGTCCAATTCATAATATGCGCAGAATTTGATGCTTTTCTGCTCTTTCGACCAGCAGTACATGAAAAGAATGATCTGTCTACAAGTAAGACGAGAGCCCTGTAGCCAAGTACCCTGTAGCCAAGCGCAAGTACCATGTAGCCAAGCGCAAGTACCATGTAGCCAAGCGCAAGTACCATGTAGCCAAGTGCAACAACCCTGTAGCCAAGTGCAAGTACCCTGTAGCCAAGTACCCTGTAGCCGAGTACCCTGTAGCCGAGTACCCTGGAGCCTAGTACCCTGTAGCCAAGTGCAAGTACGCTGTAGCCAAGTACCCTGTAGCCGAGTACCCTGCCGAATCGGGATATCGTGCCTGCAGTTCGCGTGGTGGCATCTCCAACGATCCTGTCGGTTATTCAAGGATAAAATCATGTTATGGTTGTTAGCACATTGTCTGACAGCATGTATAATACCGTGTTGTTGTAGAAACAAGATACTACTGGCTTTATCGTGAACTCATGCCGAAATTGTCAAAAAATTCATGGCCTCTACAGAAGCAGTTGTACTTATTAAATCGGATATAGCTGCATAGAATAAAATAGCAGTATTGAAAATTTTTGCGGTGAATTAAAATTGAAGTATCACAATTAGAAATATTTACAAAACAAGGCGAAATCAATATATTGTACAACAGTTGTGAGAGCTCTTCAAAGAGGATCTGCCGATATATATATATATATATATATATATATATATATATCTATATATATATATATATATATATATATATATGTATATAACACATTCACTGGGTGAAGAAGTTTCGCTATTTACCCTGATGATACAGACTAATGTATAGAATACAATGCGTTGTCAGCGGTGGTCACCTTATGGCTGACAGCTTGAACAACTAACCGACTAATGTATAGAATACAATGCGTTGTCAGAGGTGGTCACCTTATGGCTGACAGCTTGAACAACTAACCGACTAATGTATAGAATACAAATCGTTGTCAGTGGTGGTCACCTTATGGCTAACAGCTTGAACAACTAGCCGACTAATGTATAGAATACAATGCGTTGTCAGCGGTGGTCATCGTGTGGCTGACAGCTTGAACAACTAGCCGACTAAGGTATAGAATACAATGCGTTGTCAGCGGTGGTCATCTTGTGGTTGACAGCTTGAACAACTAGCCGACTAATGTATAGAATACAATGCGTTGTCAGCGGTGGTCATCTTATGGCTGACAGCTTGAACAACTAGCCGACTAATGTATAGAATACAATGCGTTGTCAGCGGTGGTCATCTTGTGGCTGACAGCTTGAACAACTAACCGACTAATGAATAGAATACAATGCGTTGTCAGTGGTGGTCATCTTGTGGCTGACAGCTTGAACAACTAGCCGGCGAATGCAGTGGTCGCAAATGGCGGCTCGCGAGCAGCATGCGACTCTTTAGTGACCTGAGTGCGGCTCGGCCAGCCGGCCACAAATCGGATTTGACTCCGAAAAAACATGGCTCTTTACAGGTTCTTGAAAAGAAATGTGGCTCTCAAAACTTTCTTAATCGTCCTGCTGCTGATGTTTGGCTCTTTGGACTGATGAGTTTGCCGACCACTTGCCTAATGAGTTTTCCGACCACTTTCCGAATGAGTTTTCCGACCACTTGCCTAATGAGTTTTCCGACAACTTGCCGAATGAGTTTGCCGACCACTTGCCTAATGAGTTTGCCGACCACTTGCCTAATGAGTTTTCCGACCACTTGCCTAATGAGTTTTCCGACCACTTGCCTAATGAGTTTTCCGACCACTTGCCTAATGAGTTTGCCGACCACTTGCCTAATGAGTTTTCCGACCACTGGTCTAATGAGTTTGCCGACCACTTGCCTAATGAGTTTTCCGACCACTGGCCTAATGAGTTTGCCGACCACTTGCCTAATGAGTTTTCCGACCACTTGCCTAATGAGTTTTCCGACCACTTGCCTAATGAGTTTTCCGACCACTTGCCTAATGAGTTTTCCGACCACTTGCCTAATGAGTTT